GTATTCTACCGTGATGCATAGGGCACAATGCCATAGCGCTGGTAGTGCTCTTAACTAATATGATTAGGCCTGCCATTGATAAATTCGAGGCTTTCCATCCACTCAGTCGCTTTTTAACCCATTCCATGATGTATTTGAATTTATTCTTTCTTTGTCAAAGTGTGAGATCTCAGCTCCCAGGTACTTGCCAATTTTATCAACTTGCTTAAAGTTGCTGCGTCTGCAAATGTCTGAATGTGTTGCTTGAGACACAGTAACTGAGAAATAAATATTGGTCTTTTCACTGCTTACTTTATGGCTAGATATACATCCAAAATCCTATAAGCACTGCATGATATTTTCAATTTGATTCAGATTAGCTTCTGCAAAAAAAACAAGATCATCAGCAAACGTCATATGTGTGATAATTGAGCCTTTTGGACCTACTCTCAATCATCTCCATTTTTTTCTCTCTTTGTTTATCCAAAATAAGGTGTGTAAGTTTTTCCATGCCGAGAACAAATAGGTATGAGGAGAGAGGATTCCTGTGTCTAAGTCCCCATGGGGGTTTAAATTTCTCTAGTTTTTCTCCATGTCACATGATTTTTGTTGAGGTGGTGCTAATGCAGCTCATTATTCTTTCCTCCATTCCTTCTAGGCACTGTATCTCACCAAGTATTCTTTGCATGAATTGCCAACTCATTCGATCATAGGTTTTTTCCAAATCCACTTTAATTGCCATGTATCCCTTTTTGCCTCTTTTCCTTCTCATGGTATGAATCATCTCATTGATGATGATAATATTATCATGTATATTCCTTCCTGCAACAAAATTGACTTGATAAGGGATACCAGCTTTGGCAGTAAACTCTTCAATTTTCTCACCATGATCTTTGTTATGCATTTGTAAACAACATTACTCAATGAGATGGGTTTAAACTGGTTTACTTTATCAGGGGTATCTCCCTTCGAGATTAGTGTGGCGAGAGTTTGGTTTAACTCTTCGATGAATTGCAGAGACATCCAAGCTTCCTTCACAGCTTCACAGTACTTCCTCCCACCACATCCTAGTCCATTTGGAAGAAGAACGCTAGGAATCCATCCTCTCCGAATGCTTTAAGGCTTCCAATTGAAAACATAGCCTCTCTAACATCTTCATTGGCTATGGCACCTTCCAATTCAACTTTCTCAATGTCACTTAGTCCATGCCAAGCATGATTATTTTCTATCCAATCTCTATTGTTTTCTTCTTAGTAAAAAGCTTCTGAAAGAAGGAGTCAACCAGCTCTGCTAATTGTTCTTTCCCTTCAATCCATTCTCCATTCTCATCTTTCAATGTATACACTTTACTTTGCCTCCTTCGAATGGTAGTTTTGGTGTGATAGAAGGTCTTATTTCTATCACCATCATTGAGCCACTTCGTGCGAGATTCTTGGTGCCATAAAATTTCTTCCTTGGCCACAATGTTCACCAAGTCATCTCTAAGCTGATATTCTAGATCCTCTAAATACTTGCTTGGCTGACTCTATAGGTACTTTTGGATACAATTAAGTCTTTTCAGGATTTCTTTTTTCTGTTTTCCAATGTGCCCAAATATGTTTTTATTCCAAACTTGAAGCTTCTCCCCCAGCTAATGTAAGTCTAGTCTTGTGTCACTAGAATTTTTTCAATTACTCTTGAATTTTGAATGTTGCAGCCAAATTGCTTCAAATCGGAACAGTCTGGCGCTTTTATCACCATGTTCAGCATAGAGGCATATCAGCAAAGGATAGTGGTCAAATTGAAACTGAGGCCCTACCTGAAATCTAGCATCACAAAATTTAACTCACCATAAATCATTGCACATTGCCCTATCAAGACGTTTGTAAAGCCTTCTAGCATGTTTAATCATCGGTCCTTTCCAAGATTTAGGGCCTTCTGACCCTAACTGAATTAGCTTTCACTCCTCCAAGTTTTCGCTAAACCTGTGACACTTATGTTGGTTAATTTCTCCTCCCCCCTTCGTGCTTCTATTGACCTTGTATCATTAAAATCCCTAGTTACTAGCTAAGGTGCTTGCATAGTCTATGCTATCTCTTTTAGTTCACACCACATTTCTCTTCTTTTCATCTCTGTAGGGCTTGCATAAACTACTGTGAACTGCAAATTACCTTCTTGTTTTGTCTCTTTTTTTAGGGGGTCGAGGCTGACACAATTTGATCGGATACATCGGGGCTACTGGGCACCTTGAACATTGTGTAACATTTTTAAAGTTTATATCTTCTATATCTTAATTTAGCTTTTTCTAAAATTTGAAAATTTATCGGGAAAATGACAAACAAAGAAGGCTGAATATATGATATCCTAATTTTGGAAGCTAAGGATTTTAAATGACAAAGAGGAAAGTCATTTTCAAATTAGAATTTTAAAATTCAGTGAAATGACAAAAATACCCCTTTATCTTTTTTTTTTTTTAAAAAAAGGCTCAACCCCTTGCCAGTGGTAGGCCTGGTAGGCGCTGACCACCAGGCCTGCCACCGGTGTGGTAGCTGCCTATGGAATTTTTTTTTTGTCACATATTTTTTTGGCCATGTGAGAATATTTCAAGAAAGTTGTGGAGGTGGAATTCGATTCCACTACCCCTTGGTCGTTTAAGCCAACAAAAAGAAAGAGAACCATTGGGCCACCAATGATTTGTTAACCTTATAATGGGTCTGTTTGGCAGGGCTTATTTGGGCTTAAAAGCAGCTTATTTTACTTATAAGCCCGATTGGAAAATGATGTTGTGTTTGGCTGTGCTTGAACAAAAAAGGAGCTTATACATTTTAAGCTGGGAAATGGGCGTTTTGGCTGAAGCTCCATTTTGTGGCTTATCTCCTTACTTTAAGAGCTTCTTTTTTTTCCGTTGAGATGTCAGAGGGTTTATTTTATTCTTACTTTCAGCTGGGAATCCGTTATTTCTTCACCTCTTCTTTTTTTTTTCTTTTGCCTCAGAGCTGTCCACGACCACAAGCTGGAGCCCAACATCCTCAGTCACGTCGTCGCCAGAACCATCGACACCTGGTCCCTGTGAGCTCCATCACTTCTCCGCCGTAGGGCCATCGTCTTCGGTGTGGCTTTAAGTGATTGAGAGCCTGTTCCTTCATCGCGACTCGACCTTCTCTGAGCTGTTGTTGCCATCTCCAACCCAGGTCACCACCGTCTGCCGGTGCATGTGAGGTGTGCATCGACATCTTAGCCTCCCAGTGGAATAGAGTGTCCAATCTACCTCTGGCAAGCTTCGGGTGGTCCGATCTGTGACAGGTTGGCCGGTTCCTATTTCTGTGTTGGTTTTCGGTAAATATGGCAGTGATACATGATTGATCCAAGCATGTGGAGTTGTGTGTGTGTGTTGATTTGTGTGTGAGCTGATAGAACATTTGGTTTTGATCCCCTGTTGATTCCTGAAACTGCCATCTTTCCTGCTGTCTGTGATGATCAAACCATTGTGTTGTCCTTTTTTTTTTTCCCTTTTGGTTCAGTGCTGTGTTCCGTGAAATGGCTGTCATCCCTGCTATCAATGAAGGCCACTCCCTTCGCTGGTGGAAGAGGGAAATGTAGTAACCCAATTGACGGAAAATCATTTTCCTTCATCTCGGAAATACTTCCTCTGCAACACCACGGTGTTGTCCTTTTTTTTTTTGCCTTTCTAGTTCAGTGGTTCTGTTTCAGTGAAATGGCAGTTGTCCCTAGAGTCAGTCAAGGCCACTCCATTCATGTGTCATCCCTACTGTCATTCAGTGCTCTATTTCAGTATCCATTTGTGTATAAACGTTCACAGTTTGGAAATGTTCGAGTGTAGGTTCATTTAATGTGTATCTGTAATAATAATGTTGAATGATTTTAGTCAATTGTACTTGGACGGAGTCACATGGTCATTCTTGGTTGATGGGAATATATGCTTTGTTTGTTGTGATTGATTATTTGATTGATTATTTGAGGTTGAATCGTCTTCAGGCTCCTATGTACTCCTTTTATGATGTTTATAGATATTTAACAGAAAGAATTGCTAAGTTATGCGCTATATGAATGTTGGAGCTTCAGGTTAATGTATTGCATTTCCTTTTTCTCCTGTTCTACTTGTATTTGTCTTTGCAAATGGGACTATTGGAGCCTCCACATGACGAAAATCTCTGAACATGAACAAATATATATATATATATATATAAGGAAAAATGTGGGAGGTTTATTGGTTAAAAATAATACTTTTATTAAGTGGCTACTAAACAAATTTTTATGCTAATATGTTAGAAAAATAAAAAAGTTCTAATTTAGCTAGGTTTGGTTCTAATTTGGTTATAAATACTTGGTGGATATTTTACAAGTGAATATCCTGATTTTGTTTTTCAAAAATTTAGACCTGATGTCTAATAAATAAGTCAAATACTAAATTATGGGTAAGTGGATGTTGGGATAAAGATTTTATTCTACTTTTAAGATGAGGGATTCTTGTGTCATAATGAGAAATGATCTAAGAATGATAGATTCTAATCCAAATACAATAGTGGAACAAAATTTGTATCATTCATGTGTGTGTGTGTGTGTTTTTTAGCGCAGTTTATGTCTAATTTTTAAAATTGTATCATGCTTAATACAAATGGTTAATGTGTCTAGCAATACATATGATCAATATGTGATGTTCAATTTGGTAATTTATTATTTATTTAATTTTATAATTTAATATTTTAATAATAATTTTTTTAAAAAAAAACTTAAACCTAAACCATTAAAATAATAACTTAGTGGCTAAAAAAAAATGAGGGAAGAAGAGAAGAAGGAAAGAGAAGGTTTTCAAAGCAATGAATAAGTAGTCTAGTGTCATCCTAATCCAAACACTTTTTTGTCTTGGGATTTCTTCTTAATTTTAGGTGAGAAAAATATGCAAATAACATATATTTTTGTTTGGGTAGAACTTATTTCTTACATAATGTAGCTTGAACTTGAACATTTTTTGTGCTTTGTTTGCTTCTGTTAGTCTTATTTATATTATTTTCCACCTAGAAATGGATAACGAAAAAGGCAAAGCAAGTTCGGATCCATACACGACGAAAATTCTAATCGATGTTTGTGCCGAGCAAATAGTGCACAAGGAACACCAAGGAACGTCATTTATAAGGCCTGGTTGGAACAAAATTACAAAGAGTTTTCAGAAAAGGAGCGAGAAAATGTATGACAGGAAGCAATTTAAGAATAGATTTGACATTTTGAGAAAGGATTGGAAGTTGTGGGAAAAACTTATGTCTGGGGAGACTGGCATTGGTTATGATGCAGCGACAAATAGGGTGTTGGCCTTTGATGAGTAGTGGCGACAAAAATTAATGGTAACTATTTGTGTTGGCTGAGTTTTAATTTTAAATATCAGTTTAGTCATCGCTTACACTTGCATAATTACGTTAATGTAGGTGGCTCCCAATTTCAAGAAATTTAGACATCAGGGGTTGATGTTTGCATCAAATCTAATGAAGATATTCAAAGATGTTGTGGCTTCAGGAGAGTATATGTGCACACCATCAGCCTCACAGCCTAAGCCAGCATTCGCTCCACAGCCTGACACAGAAGAGGAGGAGGACGTTTATAGAGTTGGGCTCGACCAACAAGAAGGGTTGAGGACAGTGAGGATGAAAATTTCGGTATTGACCCAACAACCAGCACAGGGGTCACAAATGACTTTACTGGTTGCAATTTAAACAACCCCTCGAGTACTGGACCAAGTGGCTCAAGAAGCTATGGAAAGAGGAAGAGGGGTGAGACGTCTGATGCGAAGAAGAAGAAAGAAGTTGCTACCTCTACTAAAATTTCTGATAGCCTTAGTGTTATAGCAACTGCTTTTGACAAGCAAGCAACAACATTGGTTGAAAATCCCCAACTAGTTGACAAGGTTTTGGCACACTTGGCTACCCTTGAGGAGCTTAATGATGACCCTTAACTATATTATGCATGTGCCGAGATGCTTACGGGGTTGAGGTGGGCTAGGCAAGCCTATTTGGGGTTTATACATAATAGACGCAAGTTGTTGTGTTGGTTGATACTAGCAGCAGAAGACCCAGACACACGGAAGGGACCTGCAGAATAGGAATTAGTCTATGACTTAGTTGTTTCATTGTTATTATTGCACTTGTTAGCTTGAACTGATTGTTTTTTAAACCTAAACTGATGTGACCTGTTGAAGGAACGTTATTAATGACTAAGTAATATATTAACGCTAATTTCTACTTGTCATCTATGTGTTTTCTTTTTTGTTTGCAGTTTGAAAATTATTTACACTTTGTTTAGTTTGGTAACTATAATGTTTATACTTTGTTATCATCACAGTTACAGGGTTAATTCCAGAAATGGTTACTTAGAATGATGATTCACCATAGAATGAAGATACTCTGTGAAATTGGGATAACGATTCATGGTGGAATGAAGATAACCATTCAACACAGTTATCCATGATTAATGACGAATTAACACAATATGAAGCAGTAGGTGCATTGGTTGGTCATTATTCTGAAATGTATATATATAAACAACCCTGCAGAACTAGTGAGTTGACAGGAAACTTATGGATACAAGGCATTATGGAGGGGCATGATGATCGATGTCCCGAAATGTTTAGAGTAGATAAACATGTTTTCCACCTCTTATGTGCTAAATTAGAGGAACATGGTTTACGAAAGTCTAAGTACATAGGAATTGAAGAAATAGTCGTAATGTTTTTAAACACGGTTGCACATGGACAATGCAATAGAATGATCCAGGAATGGTTTTCAACGTTCAGGGAAAACTGTAAGTAGGCACTTTCATAATGTACTGCAAGCTTGCCTTAGCCTATCGAGTGAACTTATTCGACCCAGATATCCTACATTTCATGAAACTCATCGAAAAATTGAGACCGATCCACATTATTATCCATTTTTTAAGGACATAATTGGAGCAATTGATGACACTCATATACAGTGTGTTGTTCCCGCTGCAAAACGAGACAAATTTATTGGCAGAAAGGGAAATTGTCACACCTTACTATAATATTGACTTAGGTTCCTTTGGAAATCATTTTTGACCACATTGGATGGTCTTGGGCTTACTTTTTACCATAAAAACGCTAATTTTCGGATTTTTACTGTTCATCGGGTAAAAATCCAGTTTTTCTGGCCCAACTTCAAAAATTCATAACTTATTCTACAAAAATCCAATTGAGGTAGTTCAAAATTCTACTTAAAGCTCTTTAAGTCCTATTTTAAGGAAAAATAATCTCATTGTCCAATTCTTTATGAGAAAGCGTCAGGTTTTTGAGAAAACAACACTGTCCATTTGCCAAAAACCCTAATGTCCAGATTCTGACCATTAACTTTGAAAAATCATTATAAATCGTATACTGAGCCATTTTTAATGTATTACCTATCAATTTGAAACTCAGGATTTCATCTTTCATCATACCAAATTTCATGATTTAACGCATTTAGGAACATAATCAAAAAGTCACGTGAACTGGTCAGGGTCAGTGTGCTTCCAGCACTGTTAGTTTAATATGTACATGACCAAAATATTATCACGAAATTTTGTGGCTAAACTCCACAAATCAAACTTCAATCTGCAGCTTCCTCTTGGAGGATTCAGGTCCTAAAATGTTAAATTATTTTTGGAGGATGAGATTTTTGAAAATCCCAGTAGCAAATTAACCAACTATAACACCAAGCAAGCATCATTATTATGTATGATCATATTAGCTACTATTGGTGAACTACCATGCTTATCATTTGGCAAACTCAAACATGCAAAGGCCAAAGCAAGATACTATAAAGAGCAGCCATATAACAATCAAGAAAGCTCAACCACAATAATAGTAATTAACCATACAATAATCAACAATGCTAGTTAGTGGTAGTAGCTAGGTTTAACTTACTACCTTGTTCCAAAAGTCTTAGCCTTTCTTCCTTCTCCTCTTTCCCTTGGCAAATATCAAACCCTAACCATGTGATCCAACAAAAATGGCAGCAAGAATCATTATCCAACCATGAAAAAGCAAGAACATATATCAAAATGATTCTTGAACCATAAAGTTCCCTCCTTTGTTCACTATTTTTAGATTTGTTTCTCTTTAACCCTAAAAATCACTCCTTAACTTGTTCGTACATGGATTTTCATGTAGATTCCAAAAATGGGCTTATATTTATGAAAATAAATTTGCTTCTTCTAGCCACACCTTGACCAAACCACTAGAGGTTTTGACCCAAAATTTTCAGCTTTGCTTTTAAGCTTCCAACATTTGTTTCTTCTAGTCTACCCTACACCATTCCTCATTTTAAGTATCATGGAAGCCTTAAAACAATGAAAAGCTCATCCTAGGGTTCAGTTCTTCACTTGGATGAAAATAACTCTCTCAACAACAACCATAAAAAATGCTTTTAAATCACTTAAACTCACTTGCCAACACTAGGATCTAGCTTGTGTTGTTGTGTCTTAGCAAGTGTTATGATCAAAACTTCTTTCCCCTTTTTATTAATCAGTTCAGTCCACATTAAGAGAGGAAAGAGACAGATGTTAAACCATAAAAATGAAAGAAAACAAAGTAAGAACACCTCTAGTACCAAGATCTAACCTTGCAACTTGCTTGAATGACCAAAGGTGCTCCCTTTCTTCTTGTTTTCTCTCAAACTCTCTCTTTTTCTCCTATTTTCTCCCTTGCACGACTTGAACATCTGAAAATGGGGAGAGAAGAGCTTGATTAATGCTTTAAAATATCCCAACCACCTTCTTTAATGATAGTCCAAGTGTCATTACCCTACTAAGTCTTGATTCCTCTTTCCTAATTAACATAATTCCAAATGAAATTAATTACTAAAGTCAAAATCCTCTCCATTTATGGAATGACACTTGGCTAATTCAAATATTCTCCTTCAAGAGCTTGACACTTGGCTCATTAGGATCCCTTGGATTTGCAAGACACCAATCTTGCTTTATCGGTATACTTTAGGCTCTGAGTTTAACTTCTTTTCTATAATTACAGTAACTTAGTCTCTGTAATTATTTTTTGTCAGATCTTTAATTTATTCTCCTCATTATTATCTTCCCAAATTGCCCCCTTTGTCTCAAAATTGATTTCCTAATATTTAAATAAAAAGGAAAATTAATTTCCTTCTCTTTAGGGATTTTTCCACTTTTCACATTTATTTGGAAAAATCTTGGACACTTGAGGGTTTCCATTTAATTCCATAATTCCTTATAATTCCTTGGGATCTCATAGGAATTTTATTCCTCTTAAAATATTTATTTGGAATTTTCCAAATAAAATTCCTTAATTAGCCTAAATCACCCTTTGATTCTCTCATAATTTCTCTAAGGGTAATTTGGTCATAAAAATAACTTTATAATTTCATATAACTCTCAAAAGATATCATCCTCATTTTTTCTTAATTTTCCAAGGCTCGAAAATATTTTTCCTTATTTACATTTGACCAATTTTCTTTAATTAGTCAATTTCCTATAATTAGCTTGGAAAATTACTGTAATTATTTTCCACCAAAATTCTTTGACTTTTTCTTATTATTTTTAATCCTCAATAATTTGAGAATATTTATTATCTCTAATTATCATAATGCTGGATGTGACAGAAATCCATCACAAAATGTCATGGTTGTATGTGATTGGGATATGTGTTTCACTTTTGTCTTGACAGGATGGGAAAGATCTGCACATGATGCTCGTATATTTGACAGTGCTATTACAAATTCATCTCTTAATTTCCCTCATCCATCTCCAAGTATATGTTTATAAGTTCCAATCACGCATGTTTTTTTTAATTATTTCATATTTTTACTCATTTCACAGTCTCTCAAATTGCTTCATGAATCATTAGGGAAATATTACTTGGTTGATACAAGATATCCAACACCAAATGGATATCTAGTTCCATACAGATCTGAGCACTACCACCTTCCGGACTTCCGACGATAAGTAGGATTCCGAAATAGTAATGAAGCTTTCAATTATTATCATTCTAGTTTAAGGTGCACAATAGAAAGAACCTTCAGTGTTTGGAAGAATAGATTTCACACCTTACGAAACATGCATAGTTACGACTTTTAAACACAAGTGTACATGGTTTGTACAATAATAGTCATTCATAACCTTATAAGGAGACATTCAAGATCCAACTTCTTTTTGAACAAGCTGAAAATGGTAATATGGTGGCCGAACATGATCAGGCTGAAGCTAGTCAACCATCGCCTTCAAATGTTACATCACAGTCTTTATCGCATACGAATCATGTTCGTGATACAGTCAAAGGCCAAATTATCCATAGCTTATCAATTAATTAATTATGTAATATTATTTTGTTTTACTTTGTCAATTGGAGTTCAAAACATTTTTATCCATTTAAATTATGTTTAGCTTTATGTTAACAAATTTTTTTTTTCATTTCTCTGATGCTTTCAAATTTAATTCACTCAATCAATTTCACTTCTTCGCATTAAATTAATTTAAATTTATTGTATTATGTCAATTTATTTTTTTATCATGTTGCACTTCATTTCTTAAATATTTCTTATGATTTCTCTAAAGTTCTTAATTTAATTCACTCATTAAATTTTACTTCTTCATTATATTATCTCAATTCATTTTTTTCTTCTTCCACTTTATATTTAAAATATTTTTTTTGATTTCTCTAAAATTTTAAAATTTAATTCACTTCTTCATATTAAATTATTTTAATTCCGTTGTATTATGTTAAATCATTTTTTATTTTTCATTATTTATTAAAACCCATGTCCATTTTGGTCATTTTAACCAAACTTACTTTTACTCAACCATAATCCAAACAACTTTTTATCAGTCTCACTTTTGCAAACGGGTTTTTCTGAACTCCAATATAAATACAATTCAGCTTATTTAATTTAGCTTTTATCCAACTTCACTTATCCATAAGCTACTTTTTCAATAAGTAGCTTTTCCAATAGCTGATCCAAACGGGTACAATATAAACAAAAATATAAGTTGACTCTTTTATTGTGACTCCAGCCCATGACAATAATTTTTAGGAGATGTCAAGTCTTAATTGAGAAATAACAAGTCTAAATTTGATATTAACAAAATAACTTTTCCCAATACATAACAAGAAATAACATGTCCATTAATTAAAATGACAATAATTTATTTGAAAATGATATGTCTTGATTGAAAAATGACAAATCTAAACTTGAGATTAACAATGTGTTTTTTCTGATACATAACAGGAAATAACGGGTGCATTAATTAAAAACAATAACAATTTATTTGGAAATGACAATTTTTTATTGTGAAATGACAAGTCTTGACTGTAACTAGACTAGCTATGCTTGTCACACACATAAATAGGATTTCAATATTTACACTTAAATGACTATAAGGGAAAGGACGCATCAAAATAAAGTCAGATATAGTCTTCTGTAGATAACTAAATAAATTTGACACATACAAATCATTTAGGGAAAAACAAACAAATAGCAAAAATTCAAAAAAAAAATTATAATCAAGCAATCAAGACTTGTTATTTCTCAATTAAGACATGTCATTCCCAAATAAATTGTTATAATTTTTAATTAATGTACATGTTATTTCTTGTCATGTATCAAGAAAAAAATACATTGTTAATCACAAGTTTAGACTTATTATTTTCCAATCAAGACGTCATTTCCAAATAAATTATTGTCATTTTTAATTAATGTACATGTTATTTCTTGTTATATATCAGGAAAAATTACTTTGTTAATATCAAATTTAGACTTTTCATTTCCCAATTAAGACATATCATTCTCAAATAAATTGTTATCATTTATAATTAATGCATATGTTATTTCCTATTATGTATCAAGAAAAAATATATTGTTAATATCAATTTTAGACTTATCATTTTCTAATCAAGACATGTTATTTCCAAATAAATTATTGTCATTTTTAATTAATGTAAGCTATTTCTTGTTATGTATCAAGAAAAATTGTTTTGTTAATGTCAAATTTAAACTTGTCATTTCATAAATAAGACTTATCATTCTCAAATAAATTATTATCATTTTTTATTAATGTACATGTTATTTCCTGTTATGTATCACAAAAAAACATATTATTAATTTCAAGTTTAGACTTGTCATTTTTCAATCAAGAGATGTTATTTCCAAATAAATTATTGTCATTTTAATTAATGTACATATTATTTCCTATTATGTATCAGGAAAAATTGTTTTGTTAATATCAAATTTAGACTTGTTATTTCTCAGTTAAGACTTGTCATCCCTAGATAAATTGGTGTCACAAGCTAAAATTACAGTAAAAGAGCTAACTTATTTTTCTTTGCCTTATAAAATTAACAAATCATTGATGGCCCAATGGTCATTTATTTTTTATTAGCCTAAATAACTAAGAGGTAGTAGGCTCAAATCCCACCCCACTACTTTCTTGAAATATTTTCACATTGGCCAAAAAAAATCTGACAAAAAAAATTTTCACCTGCAGCCACCACACCAATGGCTAGCCATCAGTGAGTGGTTGGGTTTTTTTAAAAAAAATTAAAGACAACAGGTATTTTTGTCATTTTACTGAATTTTAAAATTTCAATTTGAAAATAACTTTCTTTCTATCATCTAAAATCCTTTGCTTCCCAAATTGGGATATCGTACGTTCAACCTTATTTATTTGTCATTTTCCCAAATTTATCCCTTCCCCTCCTATTTTTTCAACCAAACAAGGTTCCTCCCGCTTCGGCTCAAAAACCCTGAATCAAAAACAGCCAGAAATTTGCACTTCTTCTCCTCAACCTAGCCATCATTAAAATTAATCGATCTAAAATATAAAAAATGAGGTTCATTTAGGTTCGATGCACAAGCAGATTCTCACCTAATCTGGGATGATGTTCTGTTATGTAGAATGTATAAAGCTGAATGTCCTAGCCAGTGGGTGCGAATGAAAATAGCAATATCTTCTAAACCATTATTATTTGATATTTGAAATATCATAGAGAAATGCTAGGCCTTAAATGAATTAATAATAGGAGAATACTTATGTCAAGTTCATTAGGTCAAGTTTGTCCATTTATCCAATCATATCCTGCCACATGTATTATTTGGCCTCATCACCATTTAAACCCCACGATCCGTTTAATCCCCGTTAGTCTAGAAAAATTATTTTAAAAAAAAACGTCAAAAAACCCTAGAGCATTGTTGATCCATCAAACAAGGGACGCGACGGGCGGCGAAGAGGAGCACTTACGGCAAAGGGTGAGACAGCATGCTGCTTGAAGATACTGCGATTCTATTGTTTTGATTTCTTGGGGCTTCTTTGATTATTTTATTGAGAAAGACTTTGAACCACGTCAAACTTCTTTTTGATATCCAGTATGTCGAAATCAATGTAGCTTCCCTATGCCAATTATTTTATTAATTTTTTTGCTTTTTAATTTTTTTATCCAGCCAGCTGCGTACATACTTTTTTCTTTTCCTCTCCTGTAGACATTCAAATCACGCCCATGGCTAGTGAGTACAACCCCTTGCCTTTTGTTTTGTTTATCCCATTTTTTTTCTTGTTGTTTCTTATTTTTAATATATACTTCTATATTAATTATATGAATATTTTACAGAACATGAAGTAAATCAAGCAGATTTAACACCATATGTGGGTATGGAATTTGAAAGTGAAGAACATGCGTATAGATTTTATAATGCATATGCTGGTTTTGTTGGATTTAGTGTTAGGAAAGAATGGATAAATAAATGTAGGACAGATCCTAAGATAATTTTGTCTCGAAAATATGTGTGTTTCAAAGAAGGGTTTAAAAGAGTGAATGATTATGAAGGAAAAAAGGCTCGTACAGATTTGAGAACTGGTTGTTTAGCTCAAATGGTTATTAATCGACAAGCAAATGGACAATATGTAGTTACATCTTTTGAGAAGGAACATAATCATCCCTTGGCTACTCCTAGGAGTAAACATAAATTGCCATCTCAAAGAAAGATCTCTAGTGCTCAAGCAACTCAAATTGAGCAGGCAGACCACTCTGGTATACGACAAAAATTGATTTTTGAATTCTTGAGCCGACAAGTTGGAGGACGAGAGAATGTTGGGTGTACTCTCAAAGATATTAGGAATCATTTGACTAGTAAGAGAATGGCAGAAATGGAAGAAGGGGAAGCTTATACTTTGATTCATTATTTTGAATCAAAGCAATCAGAAAATCCATCATTTTTTTATGAAATTCAACTTGATGTTGAAAATCAGATTACAAATATTTTTTGGGCAAATGGTTGTTGATTATTTTTATTTTGGAGATATGGTTTCTTTTGATACTACTTATCGTACAAATCGTAACTTGAGACCATTTGCATCTTTTGTTGGATTTAATCATCATCGGCAAACTGTAATATTTGGTGCCGCATTATTATATGATGAAACTAGTGAATCCTTTGAGTGGCTATTTAGAACTTTTATGAAAGCTATGAGTGGAAAGAAACCAAGCACAATATTTACAGATCAAGATCCAGCAATGGCAAAAGCAATTGCTAAAGTTTTTCCTGAATCATATCATCGTTTGTGTGCTTGGCATATCTCGCAAAATGCTTGCAAGCATATTAATCATGCTTACAAGAAATCAGATTCTTTTGCTTCGGATTTTAAAAGATGTATATGTGATTATGAGTATGAGAGTGATTTTCTTAATGCATGGGAATCAATGCTTGACAAGTACGATCTTCGCCAAAATAAATGGTTGCAAGATTTGTTTGAAAAAAGAGAAAAATGGGCATCAGTATATGGGTGACATGCCTTTTCTACAGGAGCTACAACAACTCAGTTGAGTGAAAGTTTCAATGGTCGATTAAGAGGATATATGAAACCTACATTAAATGTGTTAGGTTTCTTTAAAAATTTTGAGAGGTTGATAGAGGACATGAGATATAAGGAGTTAGAGGAGAATTATGAAACGAGTCAAATGATGCCACCACTAAATTTGGATGTCCTTTTGTTGAAAAAAGCAAGAGAAATCTATACGCGAGCTATCTTTCTTCGAGTTAGGAAGGAATATGAGAAGTCATGTAACATATTCTTCAAGGAATATACTCAAGTTTCAAAAATATTTGAATATAAGGTGTGCATAATGGGAGATATAGCAGATCACAAGGTTACCTATAACTCAGAAGATGACACAATTGAATGTAGCTGTAAGAAATTTGAATTCATTGGCATCTTATGTTGTCATGCACTTCGGGTACTAAATCTATGGAATAAACTAGTTATTCCTCCGAGGTACATTCTCAATAGATGGACAAAAAATGCTCGTAGTGGATGTGTTCTTGATAATAATAGGCGTATAATCAAAGAAGATCCAAAGTTAGATGTGTCAAATCGTTTCGAGGATTTATGCCGAATTGCAGTTGAGATTTCAAGTAAAGCTGCTGAATCTGATGATGCTATAACTTTTTTGTCAAAAAAGTTTGTAGATTTAGGTATGGAAGTTGATAAAATATTGAGCAAAAGTTCTTCCATTTCAAACCAACAGGATATTAGTGAAACAATTACAAGCAACGAAAAAAATGCTTTTCAAGCAAAAGGATTGAAAAAAAAAGATGGTGGATCTCGGGTGAAAGGTCATCCTAAAAGTTGCTTAGAAAAGAGGTCAAAAAGAAAACGACACTAAAAGGTATTTGTAAGATACTTATGTTCATCTTCAAATAAATTTTGGCTATATTTCAACTATCTTTTTTTATGTGCATATCAAAATTAACTTTCAACTCTATTAAATTCTTATACTTCTTTTTTATTTCAATATGACCCAGGTTGACATGTCAAATAAGAATCACGTAGAGGACAAGAAGCAGCTTTTCAAATGAAGCAGAGCCACAATCATTTTTGTTGTTTTTAGTTAGTGCATATTGATTATCCGTTGGAACCATACAAAGAATTTGTTTTTTTACTTTTTTTTTCTTTTTGTTTTATCAAATTGGTAGTGATGATAGATATCAACATTGAGAGGAGATATTTGTGTTACTTATTTATGTTCCTTTTAATAATCTAGTAGCATGCTTGTCGTACTAACTTTAGGATAATAAAAGAGTGGTCCTAATTCAGTAAACAACACACGCTCAATTCACTTTAATTTAACAGCGCTTCCAAGTGGTCCGTTTGCTATTGATCTACCAAATAAGTAGTCCCTGTTTCAACAATATTGATCCTTGTATTACTACTCAACAAGCCAATACTAATTGTAAATGTATACCAATTGTAAAATATATACAATACATATTTAGTATACCTAATAGTATTTTCATTTACTAATCCAACCATTACAATAATATGGTCCAATGCCATAATCAGCTCCACATGAGAAATGAATAATAATACATAGTAGTCATTTAGGTCCTACATAAATTCATGGTCATTGTACTGCAGTAACAAACTTTCATAATTTGGTTCATTGTCCTACAACCCAATTTTTATACCATGATGCTTCATCCGAATAGAAGAGAGATGATTCCTGAGGCTTAGAAAGTAGTAGTCATTTTGGGCAAAATGACAATGGAAACCCTGCTTGGAGCAAACCATGTGATGGAAGTGTTAATAACGGCATAGATGCCAATCAAGGTCAAGTCCATTCCTCTGACCCTCTATCAAAACAAAACAAAGAAAAATCCTCAAACTCAGAAAATAGGAATGATGCTAGCCAAAATAATTTAAATGGAAATGAAAATGCTAGTGACAATAGAAATGAATATAAAGACGTGATTGTGCCATACATTCCTTCTAGTTCCTCAATGTTGGAAGAGAAGATGCATCTTCTAGGAAAAATGCTGACACAGAGCAAAATGAGAACCAAAACAATGTTTCAAAGCCAAATAGCATTTGTACAAGAAAGAAAGCAGTAGCTAACAATAACTAACAATAAGATGAATATAATCAAGTAAATGACTACTTTTGATACTTTTCATGGATTATACCTATGAATAACATTAATTCCTCAGTTTGGCAATGTCACTTATATCTGTGAATAAAAAAAACAGGTATTTTAAGTTATAAGAATAGTCATTTATCTGAATTAATACAGGGCATTCCTCACTTCTCACAAATTACTGTGTGGGAATGATTGGAGGAGGGGATCTCAACAAATATTGAATCATCCAACATATGGTGACATGAGGCATGACAATTATATTTTAAGAAAAGCAGCAAGTACTGGATCAAACGCTTCTTTTTAGTCCTGAAAGACAAAAACAATGGCAATCTACCAAAAGATGCATGTTCTTACCAGTCATAAATCTAACGCAACAAATCATACTGTTAATAGTGTTAACACAAGTAAATCTTGCTAGTCTAAGCCACTTGTGTTTGATGATTTAATTTGATGTAATTCTAGGTAGAATCAGATCATATGATCTATGAATCTAAAGGATCCAAAGCAAGCCGTTGTAGCTGCTACTGCTGGCGGTGGCAGGGGCTGCTTCTCCTCAATAGCTTCCACTTAGTACTATTTCAACAGTGCCATGACCAAATCCGTTAATGGGTATAGTTTTTCTCAGCTTATCTAGCTATTAGAACATAGGTAGTTACTGGATTTTACTTGTTTTTCTTGTTCTTTTCAAAATTCAGAAGAAGAATCCATCAATCACGAGATACTTTGAATAGAAGACGTGTATTCCTATTCTGACAAAAAATAAACAAAACAACGACAAATCCTTACAAGATAGTGGGATGCTGGATATTTTCAAGCACTTTCAAGGAGTAGAAAGGCATTCGCATGGACGCTATGTTCATCTCCCAGCAAATCTAAAAAGCAAAATTTTGTTCCCAATCAAAAATCAAAGAAGCCTTGAGAAATCAAAACAAAAGAATCTCGCAGAAGCAATACCATTTGTGCAGCGGTCTTTCTTACCCACAAAATCTCTGTGCGTCGTTTGCTGCTAGTGCTCTTCACCGGCCATTGCTTCCTTGTTTTGTTGGATCGCACAAACGATGTCCAGGTTTCTTTTTTAACTGTTTTTTTAAAATAATTTTTCTAGACTAACGGGGATTAAACGGATTGTGGGGGTTAAATGGTGATGAGGCCAAATAATACATGTGGCAGGATATGATTGGATAAATGGACAAACTTGACCTAATGAACTTGACATAAGTATTCTCCTTAATAATATGACATCTAAATTGAGTTATTACTAATACTAATTGGTCCCTGAAAAACTTATGCAAAAAAAAAAAAAACACATGATGAGTTATAATTTTTTCAACTCACAAATATTGTAAGATAATAGATTTGAACATAAATTTTTAATTACTCATCCGGTCCTAAATATAAGACCTATTTTGTAGTGTAATTACACAAAATTACACTATAAAATGGGTCTTATATTTAGGACCAGAGGAATACTAATGAGTAGTGATTATTGCCGCTTATCTGCAATATCATTTTGAAATGTCAAAATAATATTAATTACTATTTTCATCACTAATTGTAGAAGTTCAAGACAACATTAATTACCATAATAAGGAAATATTAGAAACGTTAAAAAAAAATTATGGCATATTAATTCTGCAGATACACACGTGCAGTCCATGGCTCTGAGAAGACGAATATATGTAAGTAGTAGTTCAACTTTCATTCTAAACTTAATGTTTATTTTGCTGAATATTTCATGCTCATATCTTATTCCATATGATTGGGTTACAATATATAGAGTCCGGATGAGAAAAAATATCCCTCTAGAATCAATCAGTCATAAATTACATATATTGCAATATCACACTAAATCAGGAAATATATATTCTAGCTAATATCATGGGCAATTAATAGAGAGAATCAAGGGAGATAATCAGGGGCTTTCTAACACTCCCCCTCAAGCTGGAGAGTAGATGTCAACCATTCCCAGCTTGCTTCGAAGCCCTTCAAACTTGACTCTGGCTAAAGGTTTGGTCATGACGTCAGCAATCTGATCAGTTGAGCGCACATAGCTCAGGTTAATTGTGCCATCTTCAACCTTTTCTTGATGAAGTGCCGATCAATGTCAACATGCTTTGTTCGGTCATGATACACAGGATTCTTGGTCATTTCAATGCTGGCTTGGTTGTCACACCAGAGGTTCATAGGTCCTTCATAGGAAATTCTCAATTCCTTCAGAAGTCTGATCACCCACATTCCTTCACATACCCCCAGGGCTACAGCCCTTAGCTCAGCTTCAGCACTACTCCTTGAGACTACAGTCTGTTTCTTGCTTCGCCAAGTGACTAGGTTTCCCCAAACATAAGTGCAGTATCCTGTGACAGATCTTCTGTTATCCACAGCTCTCCTATGATCTGCATCAGTGTAGACCTCTATGTTCCTTGTACTCCCCTTTTTAAAGAATATTCCTCTTCCAGGATTGAGTTTGAGGTAGGTCAGGATTCTGTATACTGCTTCCATATGTTCTTCCTGGGGTTGATGCATAAATTGGCTTACTACTCCAACTGCATAGCTAATGTCAGGCCTTGTATGAGTCAAGTAGATCAGTTTACCTACAAGTCTTCTGTACCTTTCTGAGTTGACTGGTACCCCGTCTGGTTTCACTTCTAGATTACATGATTCTTCCATAGGCGTCTCACTAGGTTTAGCCCCAAGTATTCCTGTTTCGTGGAGCAAATCAAGTGTGTACTTTCGTTGAGACACACTTATACCCTTTTTGGATCTAGCAACCTCCATTCCAAGAAAGTACTTCATTTGTCCTAGGTCCTTCACTTGGAATTCCCTAGCTAGAGCTTTCTTGAATTGGGAGATAGAAACTTCATCACTGCCAGTTATGACTATATCATCCACATACACAATTAGGATCGTTACCTTTCCATTACTGTGTTTGACGAAGAGAGTGTGATCAGCTTGTCCTTGGATGTAGCCAAACCTTTTGATTGCCTTGGCAAACCTATCGAACCACGCTCGTGGAGACTGTTTCAAGCCATACAGTGATTTCTTCAGTTTGCAAACTGAGTTGGGTGGAGCTATTACTCCATCTGGGATTGCCATGTACACTTCCTCCTCCAAATCTCCATTTAGGAAAGCATTCTTCACATCTAGTTGATGTAGAGACCAATCAAGGTTAGCAGCTAGGGACAGGAGTACCTGGATGGTGTTGAACTTTGCCACAGGAGCAAACGTTTCTTGATAATCAATCCCATAGTCTGGGTGTACCCTTTAGCAACTAATCTTCCTTTGTACTTATTGATACTTCCATCAGGATTGAATTTAGGGGTGAAGATCCACCTGCAACCCACTACTTTCTTACCCTTAGGAAGTGTGGTAATATCCCACGTGTTATTTTCCTTTAAGGCTCTCAACTCCTCATATGCGGCACGTTTCCAATTAAGATCTTTCATAGCCTGTTGAAATGTTTCTGGAATCTTCACCTGTGAGCTATTCACCACAAAGGTTTGCATTCTAGCAGATAAATTGCCATAAGAGACAAATTTTTGAATAGGATGCTGAGTACATGATCTTACCCCTTTTCTAAGTGCAATGGGCCATCCTAGCTCTTCAGGATCCAACTCTGGATTGGAATCATGTTGCTGCCTTGGAATGGAAGGGACCCTACTACTACTGTCCTGCTCACCTGATTGAGGACTTGAACACTCTGTCACCCCTGCATCAATTTCAGCATTGGTTTCCATTGGGTGAGGGATATTTGTGGGGTTTTGGTGCTCTAGTGGAGGTGTAGGACTAGGGGTTTTTGGTTCCGGTTCAGGGACAATGATCATAGGTTCAGGTGGTATGGCAGGTTCAAGAGGGGTAAGATGTGTGTTGGGGTTGGTCATAGGTTCAGGTGTAATTAGCCATTCTACTCCATAGTGCTCCCCCTGAATGGGTAATTTGGGATAATAAGCATCATCCTCATAAAAAACTGTGTCTTTGGAGATTATGAGTTTTCTGGTAGTGGGACAATAACACTTATACCCCTTTTTGGTGGAGGAATATCCGAGGAAAATACATTTTTCTGCTCTAGCATCAAGTTTGCCCCCATCATGTTTATGAACAAAGACGACACACCCAAAGACCTTTTGAGGGATGGTATTGATGATAGGTGAGGTGGGGTAGGTCTCGAGGAGTTTTTGTATGGGGGTAGTGAAATGGAGAATTTTGGAGGTCATTCGATTGATGAGATAAGCAGCGGTTAGCACAGCATCTCCCCAAAACAAACTTGGAACATTTCTTTCCATCATAATAGCTCGGGTTACTTCTAGAAGATGCCTATTTTTCCGCTCAGCAACTCCATTTTGTTGAGGAGTATAGACACATGAGGTTTGGTGATGGATTCCTTCCTGCTCAAGAAATTCCCTAAAGGCTCCACTCACATACTCTTTGGCATTGTCACTTCTCAGAACTTTGATGGGAGTTTGGAATTGGGTTCTCACAAAAGAGTGAAAGTTTTTGAAGATTTGTAAAGCTTCGGATTTCTCTTTCATAAGGTAAACCCATGTGACCCGGGTGTGATCATCGATGAATGTAATAAACCACTTTGTGCCTGTTCGGGTGTTGATTTTGGCTGGTCCCCAAATGTCGGTATGAATCATTGTAAACGGGGCAGTAGGTTTGTAAGTATGTTTGGGATAAGAGGCGCGAGTTTGTTTGGCAATTTGACACGTTTCACATTGGAAAGGAGAAGAATTTTTATTGAATAAAGTTGGAAACACATGCTTCATATAATCAAAACTGGGGTGGCCTAATCTTTGATGCCACAACATTACATTTTTATTCTGAGAATTAGAGCTAACCATAGCCTTCTTTGCTCCTGCAGTCTTCATATTTTTTCCTTCAAAGTAGTAGAGTCCATCCCATTCTTTAGCAGTCAAAATCTTCCTCCCCGAGGTCGAATCCTGAAAAACACACTTAACATCATCAAAGATTACCCGACATACTTGTCCTTTAGTCAATTTGCTCACAGATATAAGGTTGCAGGTAAGAGCAGGAACAAACAAAACATTATGGATTTCCAGATCATCAGATAGGGCCACAATGCCAACACCCTCAACTTTAGTATATAGTCCAGTTGCTACTTTTACCCTAAGGTTCTCATGGCAATATTTGAGGGTTTTGAAGAAGGACTTATTACCAGTCATGTGGTCTGTAGCACCGGAGTCAACAATCCAAGTCTCATCACTAGTTACCATTGCATTAAGGGCTATAATAGAATTACCTGACTGAATCAAGTTCACGTTGGGAACAGATTTTGATTTGTTTTGTTTTTCAAGTATCTTACGAAGCATTTGAAGCTCTTCTCTGGTCAACTGGTCTCCATCATCACCTTTTTCTTCAGAGGAGGTGTGGTGGCTTTTTCTATCTTCCCGTTGTTTCTGCTTCCCTTGGGTTGGTTTCCCATGTAGTTTCCAACATTCGTCTCTGGTGTGGCCTTTCTTGTTACAGTGATTGCACCACTTGGTCCCTTTCTTCTCAGATCCCTCGAATGTTGGGGACCTCCTCGTGACCAATGCTGAGCCATCTACTGGGGTTTGGTTACCCTGAGTGAGGTGTCTCCGGCTTTCTTCAAACTTGACCATACTGAAGACTTCAAATAGGGAGGGAAGCGGTTTTAGACCCATAATTCTGCCTCTTACCTCTTCAAAGACATCATTCAAACCCAATAGGAAGTCATAGGTTCGTCCTTTTTCCACCAGTTGTCTGTAGTAATTAGCATCATCCATGTCCTTCCAAGGATGAACTTCAAAGAGATCCAACTGCTGCCATATCTTTGTTAAAGTGCTGTAATATTGTGTTACAGTTAAGTTTCCTTGCTTCAGATCTTTCAGCTGCCTCCTTAGATCCAATAGGGCTGCAGTGTTGTCTAGTGTGGAGTAAGTCCTCTTAGCAGCGTCCCAGATTTCCTTAGCTGTGCTTGCCAAGAGGTATCCTTCACTGATTTCGAGAGTCATTGAGTTGCACAGCCAAGACATCACCTGATTATTTTCAGCAAACCAGGTGTCAAATTTGGGATCATTATGTGAAGGTTGTTTTGCCTCTCCATTGATATATTTCTCCTTACGCTTCCCACGGAGATACATTAACACACTTTGGGATCATTGGAGATAGTTGCTACCATTAAGTTTGTGAGCCACCACCATAGCTTGATGTTCAGAGGTTAAGGATGGTTCTGGATCAGAGGCTTGAGAGGTGACTACAGGTGAAAAAGGAGTGCTTTGAGTATTTGAAGATGTACCGGACATAAGGGCCATTGGAATATTACGAACAGACCCAAAAAGGGGTGGGAACTCTGATGGGTTCATTTTCTGGATCTCTGGGAGGTACTGTTGCTTTTTCCGGCGGCGGCGCGTGCATTCACGCGCAGGGGCAGTGGCGGCGCGTGGGCTTCACGCGCGGAGCTTGTGACGGCGCGTGGGCTTCACGCGCAGCTCCGTTCGACGTCGCGTTCAAGGGTTACGCCGATCTGAGGACGCCGGTGAGGACTGGAGGGGCGGTGTCGTCCACGGTCTGCTCCTGGCTTCAGATCTGGGACGTCTCACTCTCTCTCTCTCTCTCCTCGCGTTCTCTCTCTCTATCTCACGGCAGCAACGCACGAAATTTTCTGGGTTCAGGTGGAACCCTACGCTCTGATACCATGTTTATTTTGCTGAATATTTCATGCTCATATCTTATTCCATATGATTGGGTTACAATATATAGAGTCCGGATGAGAAAAAATATCCCTCCAGAATCAATCAGTCATAAATTACATATATTGCAATATCACACTAAATCAGGAAATATATATTCTAGCTAATATCATGGGCAATTAATAGAGAGAATCAAGGGAGATAATCAGGGGCTTTCTAACACTTAATAATTCGTCAGATTTACAATTTCCAAAAGACTTAAATATAATATATTTATCAGCTTCTGAAAAGTTCCACAATATAACAGAGTAAAGGAACAGAGTGTCTTGCCATATTAATAGCAGTAGAAGAAAGAAGAAATTGAACACTAAATTACTGCCTAACTACAACAGTTTCCCTTCTGCTGGATTGGTTGCCCTTTCATTTGAACGGTTTCTGTTGACCTGCCAACACTTGGCTGGTTTCCCATCCTGCATTCAAGTTCAAATCATAAGTTCATAGCATATCATACCAACATTACTTTCAAAATACAATCCAGACCTATTTGGATCCTCTCTTGTCATTGGAGGAGTTCAAGAAGAGAGAGATAATTAGAAAATAAAAGATTCAGGGTACAGAAGCCCAATAGGTCTCGAGTCAAATTTCTCTTCACCAGGTTTCTTTTTACTGTATTTCCAGTGCAGTTCTGAACTGTTTTAGAATTTAGATCAAATTATAACTATACAGATTAACTTATATTTTTATAAATGGTCAAATATAGACAATCAACTGTAATCTGACGATCTCATATTTAGTGGAGAAGAACTTGGCCAGTGCCAGTGGGCCCCACTTCTCTCTTCCTGTCTTAGAAATATTACCTTATATCTGAAGAGGAACCCAATGCAATGATCAACAGGCCATTGACGCTCTTAACAGAGTTTTAAAATAGCCTAACTCAACTACCAGTCTTCATTAATCATTATTCAGAAAAAAGGAAAGAAAGTAAAAGGGAATCGAGCTTGAGGGAGAGTATTGGGAATAAAATGAAGAGAATCAGAACATCAACAATCCGCATGTTACACACAGCATGGTCACAAATCTAAAATTTGCAAGAAGTTAATATCCTCACAGGTTACCCAAAATAACTAGCACAAAATTGACTTTAATTTAAAATCTAATAATAAAGAGCCATTCTTATTTATGACAAAAACTGATATATTTTTTCTTAATACAGTTTGCACTAAGGTCTCACAACTCAACCTCTCTCATGACCATATGTCAAAATAACCAAGAGCTTGCTGGTTGCAATATGAAAGATCGTGGACGTTAAAACTATCACTAAAGCGGGCCAAAAAGAAAAAAATGTCGCTAAAGGAATCCATTATGGTAAATTCTTTAAATTTAAACAAGGAGTCAAAGTGTAAGACCTATATCACAACAATGATTAAATTCGAAAATCCATAAAGTCCCAATGACACTAGAGAAAAGAAACTGGGAAATTTTACATACTTGTTCTTAATCTCAGCTGCCATGGTTAAGAAAGCCTGCTCAACATTGATTGAGTCTTTGGCACTTGTCTCAAGGAAAGGGATACCAAGTTCATCAGCAAATGCCTGTGATTTGTAGCCACACCCAAGATAAATAAAAATCAAGTCAGACAGGTGAAAATGTGATCTCATTGTCACTTACAGTACTTCACAGAACTATTACTGATGTTCCATTTGATGTTTGGGCATTTGCTGCTAATAATTCATATTAGAAAAACAATTCCATGATGAAGAATATAATAATCTTTAGCATCTGCCCCTAGCTAGCAAATGCAAATCTGATATCTCACAATTCAATTATTTTATGTCATCATTCAGTCAGAAACAAACTTGTCATTGTCATATAAAAATCTTACTAGGGTCCAATTTATGCACAATACCATCTAAATGTCACTTACAGTAACCAGAGCAGAGCTGTTGAAGAGGAAAAATTAACTTCTCCAAATCTCAACCTCTTAAATTTCGTCAAGACAAAAAGAGATTAGCCTGAATAATTTAATATCTATTTTCCTTTTCTTTTTCCAGTGACTAAGGATCATTGCCCAGAATGCAATTAAAAACTTTGTTGACTTCATTAAGCTCCCAAGATCATGAGGGAGTGTGTGACGGTTATGGTGCAGAAAAGAAACTCAAACAAAAAGAAACATAAGACCAAAATTATAACACACATGTTATAGTTGAAAAATAAGATATATACTTCCTGTTAAACAATAAGCACATAGAAAGTATGAATGTCTGAGCAAAAAATTAATTTCAGCTTACTAATTTTTGAGCAGACTGAACTTACATAAGAATATAAACAGAATTATATAGAAAATTCACATAGAAAGGAGAACCAAACGGTGGAATTTACCTTTGCTGTTTGTGTATCAACGACTTTGTTATCAATTAGATCACATTTGTTCCCAACAAGAAGCTTGCACACACTGTCATTAGCATATCTATCAATTTCATTTAACCATTGCTTGACATTGTTGAAGCTTTCCTGCTCAGTTACATCATATACAATCTGTTGCAATATAGAAAGTTTCAGAATATTGCTGATATATTTTATTTGTGACAAGATTATTCTATATTTCTCATGTAAGAAGAACTCACAATTATTCCATGTGCTCCTCTATAATAACTGCTCGTTATAGTCCTGAATCGCTCCTGTCCAGCAGTATCCCACTAAACAGACAGCAAAGGAAAATTGTTAATCTATGTTTGGGAAAAGGCTGATGCTTTCACTGGATTTAGTAAACCAATTATCTGGTGATAGCAATGCAAAAACTGTATTTAGCATTTTGTTCTGAATTAAAATATTACCATGTGAAACATGCATTGAAATAGATCTGCAAGCTTATGTATAATTTCTAAGACAAAAGAAGGGCTGAGGATAAAGCATAAGGAAGAAGCAATATGAGCAAGCCATGCATCAAAACTAGAAGCATATTTTAATAATGTTACATGGAAAGGCCGCGCTGTACCTACAACTGCACCATCATTCTCAAGTCCCAAACAGAAAAACTTAACCACATTTTGTAGAATAGAAACCTGAACTGGGATAGGTTTAAAATAGAAATTTTCTAACAAACATAAAACACCTTTTCAACTTTTTACATGAAAAAGATAAAAAGAGAATTGAAGACAACTCATGCATATTCAGCATTACACATAGCCACATAGGATAATACCCAGAGATACCAGAATATCTTTTGGTACAATTACTTATGAGCGTCCCCACACAAGAGCGCGGGCACAAGTCACGCAGAAAAATTACGCATAGGTTTTCTGTTCTGTGTTAATTGGAGATAGTTTTTAACTCACAATCTGCAATTTGATTGTTTTCCCTTCCAGCTCCACAGTTCTGATTTTCTGGAAAATTCCAGAAATTTGTACGTCAGAACATAAAGAAACAATTTATGTGAAAGTAAACATCCAAAAATTTGAATTCATATAGTGAAATGAGAGAACTAACAAAATCAACTCCAATGGTACTGATGTAGCTGTCCACGTACGAGTCATCCTGAACAAAAAAATAAACAATCAAATAACCGCCCAGCAACCTTAAACATTAAGCCATGTTTTCACTCTTCGTAAACATAAACACAATCAAACTAAACTTAGCCATACAAACACCCAAGGTCCAAAAGAGTTAACTCACGGCAAATCTGAGAAGCAGGCAAGACTTTCCAACCGAGGAGTCCCCGATTAGCAGAAGCTTGAACAGATAATCGCTGGATCGTGCCAGAAAAAGAACAACAAGAAAAATGCAAAGTTAATTACCAAAACAGTGTGTGTTATAAAGTGATAGAGAAAACGGAATCGTTAGAGGGAAGAAGAAACGAACTCACTATTCGTTGCTCATTATGACGACGTTTGAACCCAAATGGAAATGGAGGATACCTGCGGTGGCTTTTGCTGCCTTGGAAACGAAACGAAGAAGAAAAGAAGATGATTAATAGTGTCATAAATAAGGAATACTTTTAGAAAGAGTTATTATTTGCTTCTCAAGGGATAAGAACGCGACAAAGACTTCTGCTTTTTATTGACAAGTTTTGGACGAAATTGCAAAAAAGGACCCACGCCTTAAACTATTTATTTTGGATTCTCTTGATCTTAAAAATGATGCTCAAATATTAAATATAAGACCTTTTTTTTTTTAACTAAAGGACACGTTTTATTAATGAGAAATACGAGAGTACAAAGTGATTAGCCTACACCCATTCGCTCGGCGATTCTCAAATTGTTTATGAAAAATTAGACTTCCTGTCCCGAAAACATTATTATCTAAGAGTTGTTGAAAATGAGATGGTGCTACAACAAGCATTCTACTGGTAGCTATCCCATTCTTTTTGCAAGTTGCCAAATAATCTATAGCATTATTTACCTGTCTTGAGACCAAATGTGATGGGAACATGAGGCCTTGCTTCTAATGGACAGAATTTCAGCACCAAGGTCTTGACACTGCCATTCCAATTCAGCAAAAGATTTGTCGGTTACAGTCTTGAACAAAACTTGGCAATCAATCTCAATAGAGATATTTAAACACTAAAATTGGTCACTGTAAATTATAGCATCTCTTAGGGCCAAACGCTCTGAATGGAAAGCAGAAGTTGCTATAATCTTTCTATACACATTTCCAAGAGAGACACCATTATGATCTCTGCAAATGATCCCAATTCCACATTGGCCGGGATTTTTCCCAAAAGCACCATTACAATTTATTTTTTGAGATCCAATAGCAGGTGCTTTCCAAGTTAATTCCTGCTGTTCAATATCATGCTTGAAGCCATGTCTTTGCATTTTCATTATTTCATTTCTTTTAGCTATCCAAATGTCTTTTGCCAATAAGGATGCTGAGGAAACCACCTTTAATGGATCCAATTGAGCACCTTGAAATACCATTCCACATCTTGCCTTCCAGATTCACCAACATGAAGCTACAATTAGAGCACAGCCTGTATCACCAATATTTTTATTATGCAGTAGCAACTGTTCTAACCACCTATCAGTGCTCAAAACTTGGTTGCAATTAATGGTCAAGGACAAAGAACATCCAAACCACCATCTATTTGCCTGTGGACAAAGCAATATAAGGTGTTCTGAAGTTTCAACATCATTACAGCAAAGCGGACAGGTCATATCCTCTTCATTTTCTTTTGACTAGCACCTAACAGCAATCTCCACATGAAGTGTTTTATCTTCGGTGGGATTTGCAATCTCTGTATGCACTTTCAAAGTTGTGCAAGAACACTGTAGGATCTTCCTGGTCTTTGCAGCTCTGCCTTTGCTTCTTCATTCTTCGCAAACTGGTATCCTGATTTAACAGTGTATAGTCCATTTTTCTTTGACAACCATATAGGGCAGCCAGTAACATTTCTTTTTGGAATCTTCATTCGGTTAATCTATCTATTCTCAGTACTCGTTAGCTTGTGAGCAATTGGCTACAAGTTCCATGTTCTTCAAGCTTCTTAACAAAACGAGCCCTCACCTCCTTCAACGCCTGCATACACAATAAATGAAGATATCAAAAAAAGTGATCACCGTTATCGAATGCCTGTATCTCACTGGTCATTTGTAAATAAAGTCTTGTCATCTCAAGTATTAACCTTGCTAATAGACTTACTTAAACTTAGGTCACGTATATTTTCTAAGTTCCCACATACCGGATCTAAAGACTGCAGAATTGGACTGTCCTCATGTCCTGCTGAGTATACCTCGCTGCCACTGCTTCCATGCAATATTCCCATGCTGCTACCTCTCTCTTTCTCCACCCTCTCCTTTATCTTCTCCTCGGTCCAATATTCATTGGGGCTTGTTGAACCCCGGTCAACAGACAATCCCAACGGGAAACGCTCAGCAAAATACAGTTGCAAAACCAAATAAAAATAGGTCACACTTCTACAACAATAACATAAAACAAAAATATAGTGAACCATAAGAAAAATATTGACTTACCAGCAGCAAATAAAGACACCCTCCAACATTGCAGGTTCTTTTCTTCTTCTTCTTTGTCATCTTTACAAAGTCTCCCATTTCCTTCCACAGGTTCTTGATTATGTATGTTGACCAATCATATTTCCCAAACCTATCCATCGTGTGACGTATCACTTTCAACAAATGTATATGTACAATTGTGCTTGACCCAGGACATAAAAAAGCTCTAACTGTATAAAGCATAAATAGGAACCTAAAATTGTTGCTTTCTTTTCCAGATAATATCCTCTTCAGTATCTGGGTAAATGGAACCTTCCAATAAGTGTCCTTCAACCTCTTGTATTCCGGGTCATCCTCACTAACATCAGATCTCACTTCCTCCCCATTGTCAGGTCCACCTAGAAACTCATGAGCATCTTTTGCCTCAACTGCCTGCCCTTGCCCCTTAATGGTCAAAAAATGTTTTAGTGGGTCATAGCATCTCAACAATGACACAAGTAGATCACATGAAAGTTGCTTCACATTCACATTAAGCAAGTTCCCAAATCCCATCCTCTCAATTTTCTGCCTTAACCGCCTGTTCTTCTTTACATACTCAGCCAATGATAGAAATCCGGGCAATGAGCACCGGGTGTACAAGGGAACATCATATTTCTTCTTCTCACCTTTCTATGGCTTCGTTTTCTTACCCTCTCATTATACCTATCTTTCTCTTCTTCACTCAGGGCCCTCCATGCCTTCCCCACTTCAATTTTTTCTTCTCTTGCGTTTTTACACTTTTCCCCTCGTTTTGCCATATACTCCCTTCTGAACAACACAAGCCCACTGTGGACTCCTTTGCTTGTGGACCCTTCCCCTTCTTCCAACACCATCTCGTATAATTCTGCAAAGTCATCAAGGTACCATCATTAAATGATAATTTTTATACATATACTAAATATCTAATTCTTTCCAGATTCGTTATGGTCATTTCCAGTTCCTTCATTGTCATTTACAATATAGCCATTACAAACTGACAGTAAGGATGCTACTATAAATATGGTTATTTCCAATTAATTTATTGTCATTACCAATATGCCCATTACAGAATAACAGTAAGGTCATTACTATGAATATGGTCATTTCAAGTTTCTTCATAGATATTTACCAGCATGGTATTGTCATTTCCAGTTTATTCATATAATCTTTCCAGTCAATCAGACAGTAAGGTCATTACTATGAATATGGTCATTTTAGGTTCCTTCATAGTCATTTACCAGTATGTTATTGTCATTTCCAGTCCGTTCATATAATCTTTCCAGTCAATCAAACAATTTTCCTACTGATTTGAAAACCAATTTTTCCCTAACGTCATAGTTCTCAACTTCATTATAAAAAACAAAATAGCTTGCCACAGAGACTCAGCATAAACCCTTAATCGCCATTTCTGTCATTCACAAACTTCATCGCGTCATATCTAAATATTGCCTAATCATTGCTTCCCAAACTCACCCAAAAACGTCGACCACAGGACGAAACTTAAATGCCTAAACTTACCTCAATGAAATGTTGTTGATGCTTGTTAAATGCAATGGTGAATCACTGTGCGCCAACCTTCGTCTTTCCACACAATCAGTCAGACATGACCACGTTCGCCCTTCGAACAGCATACCCTTCCACTTCTAACTCCTCAGCTCTCTTACGCACACACTGTTTCGAGGTCGTCAACTGTCTAACTTGCCGGCATTTTTAGGGCAACAATGGGGATGGTGGAAGCGAGAAACCGGGAAGCACGAGTGGGCAGTGCACGAGTGTTCACGCCTCTCTCTCTCCGCTTTCAAACTTTGACTGACAGAAGGGCTGTTTGGTAATTGGCCAACATTTGCATAATCCCAAATCAGGCAACACTTCCCTATCTGGTAATACATTTGCTTAGCTTCTCATTTTGGCATTTTATAATTTCATATTTCTTTATGTGTCATTTTCCCTATTTAAAATGAGAAGGAGTAGTTATAAAATATAAATACCAAATAATGCGGCATATCTTAAAGTAAACATACATGTTTTATAATATTTCGTAGTTTTTTAATAGCTATATGAAATTATACTATTTATAAATTATAAACAGAGTGATATGATGAAAAAAAAAAATGGTGACAAATCTTAAGCACCATGTAAAATACAAATTTTTATGCAAGTTGACAATTGTTTATACTCTATGCTTAAAAATTGAATAGGAAATTCTTATATTTTTTTAGAATTTCTCTTACACGAATTAAATAATTAATTAACTAATGTTTCTCTCTTTTCTCCCCCCCCCAAACAATTGATGTTTCTCTCAATGAAAAACATTCCATTATTTGCTAATGGATCTCATATTATTTATGCATTGAAAACAATTTCCGTAAAATTTGAAGAAAAATGTGATGTCTACAGTATTTTTTGCGTGAAATAAAGTCAATTTATTTAAAAGGTAAAATGAGTACATTAAACATGACTGATGAGTGGATGTCTCGTATTAAAAGAGTATAAGTAACATGACATTCTTAAAGCGTATGATGACTTTTTTTAAATTTTTGGGTAGATGTGCAATTACACTCTTTATCTCATTTTTTAAGTATACCCAACACTCTAATATTTTTATTGATACAATTTTGCTTACAATCTTATTTTTGTGTATCCAGTACCCCAGTATTTTTTTTAATTACATCTAGCACCCCAATCCTTAGAGTGTTGGAAGCACCATAAATAATATTAAAGTGATAAATGCACCAAAATAAAAAGATCATGGATAAAATTACATCACTTAAAAGATCAAGGTATTGTATGCACTACAAAAATAAAATTAGGGATAAAATTGCATTTTGATTCTTTTTTTCCCAAAAAAAAAAGAATTGCTTTCTTTCCCAAAAAAAAAAAGAATTTCTTTCATTTAAAAATAATCAAATCTTTATATTATTTTTAGGAGAATAGCATTGGAAAATTTTCACAATAAGAAGTTTGAAATTATTAAGTCTCAAATCAGATATAGTTCGTACATTT